TTTTCAATCTATATGCAGAACAGATTATCCAGGAGGCTGGGCTGTATGAGGAGAAATGTGGCATTGGGATTGGAGGTAGATCCATCAACAGTCTGCATTAGGCAGATGACACAACCCTGCTTGTTGAAACTGAGGAGAACCTGAAGCGCTTGTTGCAGAAGGTCAAGGACTGCAGCCCTCAATATGGATTGAAGCTCAACATCAAGAAAACAGATTCTCACCAATGGACCACTTGGCAGCATCATGATAGATGGAGAAAAGATCAAGATTATTAACAGCTTTAGTTTGCTTGGCTCCACAATCAACACTCTTAGCACCAGCAGCCAGGAAATTAAAAGACTAATTGAACTGGGAAAGTCAGCTATAAGAGAGTTCTTCAGAGTACTAAATATCGTCAGTGTCAGTCTGGAGACAAAGGTGTGCCTGATCCAGGCCCTAGTCTTCACAATTACTTGCTATGCATCAGAGAGCTCGATAATGACTAAAAAGGGCAGAATTGTTGCGTTTGAGCTGTGGTGCTAGAGAAGAGTCTTGAACATACCTTGGACTGCCAAGAAAATAAATATGTCTGTTTTGGAGAAGGTGAAACGAAATTTTTCTTTGGAGGATAGAATTTTGAAGCTCCATCTTACATACTTTGGGTATGTGGCCAGGAGTGACTGATACTTGGAGAAGGACATCATCATGCTTGGAAGGGTGGATGGACAGTACAGGAAAGGAAGACCCCAGGTGAGGTGGATTGATACAGTAACTAGGGCAGTGGAAGTAGGTATGTATGTCAAAGGTTGTGAGATTGGCTCAGGACAGGGCAGGCTTCAGAGCTGTTGTACATAGAGTTGCTATGAGTCGCAGGCGACTCCATGGCTCATAACAACATATATCTATCTGTTTACTTGTCGTTGTTGTTGTGTGCCATGGAGTTGCCTGCCACTCACAGCGACCCTGTGTACAACAGCCCTAAAACCTGCTCTATCCTGTGCCAATCTCACTGTCTCCGACACACCCCATTACCCCACTCACTGAATCAGTCCACCTCATTGAGGGTCTTCCTCTCCTGTGCTGTCCCTCCATGCTCGCAAGCATGATGTCCAAGTACTGATCCCACCATGCAACATGTCCAAAATATGTCAGATGAAGCTTCAGAATTTTTGCCTCCAAGAAGCAGTCTGGCTTCACTCTATTCAGGACAAACTCGTTTGTCCATGGTATATTCAGTACTCTTCTCCAGCACCACAGCTCAAAGGCATCGATTGTCCTATCATCCCTAGTCATTGTCCAGCTTTCTTACAAAGGTAAATATCAGGACATTTTGAATCAGAATTGTAATTGAACACATTTTCATTACTTTTGTTCAGAGCAAATGCAGATACTTTTGAAAAGCAATGCTCTGTAACTTAGTAACTTCACGTATTCTAAGTATAAAGAAAATGCAATTTTAGAAATTAAATTAATCCATGGAAGTGCATCGTGTAATCTGAATGTTCTTTTTTTATTTTTTTCTTATTAAAATCAGAATACCAGAGGATTATCTATCTGTGTTTCGTTGACTATGCAAAGGCATTTGACTGTGTGGATCACAGCAAACTGTGGCCTAATCTTAAAGAAAATCAGAATCCCAGAACACTTGATTATCCTCATGTGCTACCTATACTTGGACCAAAAGGCAGTCCTCAGAACAGAGCAGGGAAACTGCATGATTCAAAGCAGGGCTATGTAAAGCGAATCTGAATCCTTCATATCCTGTGCCATCTTCACACTTCCTGACACACATTTTGGTAGTCACTGTATCAGTCCCCCTGGTTGAGGGTCTTCCTCTCTTTTCCTGACCCTCCACCTTTCTAAGCATCATGTCTTTCTCCAGGGAATAGCCCCTCCTAGCAACACACCCAACAACCTCTTCAAAGGACACCCCAGCTGAACCTTCTCCAAGACATAATTTTTTTTTTTTGGCTGTCCACGGGATGTTCCGTGCTCTTCTCCAGCACCACAGTTCAAAGGCATAAATTCTTCTCCTGTCATCTTTATTCATTTCTAGCTCTCAGATGCATAGCAAGTGATTGGAAAGACTATGACCTGAATCAGGAGTACCTTAGTCCTCAGGCTGACACCATTGCGCCTCAGTAATTTGAAGAGATCCCTAACTGCACACTTTTCTAGTGTTGTGCATCTTTTTATTTCCTGACTGCTTGTACCAAGTTTGTTAATTGTGGATCCAAGCAAAATGAAGTTGTTGACAGTTTCAGTCTGTTCTTCATCCATCAGGATGTTGCCTATATAGGCCCAGTGGTAATCTTTGTTTTCTTGACATTGATATGGAATCTATATTGAAGGCTCCATCTATCACTTTGCTTGGCTCCACAATCAACATTCTTTCTTGGCACCAGCAGCCAGGAAATTAAAAGACACATTGCAGTGTTTGCTGTTAGGGACCTCTCCAAAGTACTGAAGAGCTATGATGTCAGTCTAGAGACCAAGGTGTGCCTGATACAGGCCATGGTCTTTGCAGTCACTTGCTATGCGTCATAGAGCTGGACAATGACTTGGAATAAGAGAAAGAGAATTGGTGCCTTTGAGCTGTGATGTTGGAGAAGAGTTAAATATACCATGGAGTGCTAAGAAAATGAACAGGTTCATCTTAGAGATGAACCTAGAGAGGCTTAAACCTGGCTGCTCCTTGTAGGCAAGGATTCTAAAGTTTCGTCTGACATATTTTGGACATGTTGCAAGGAGGGACCATCCTTGGAGAGGGATGTCGTGCTTGGGAGCATGGAGGGACAGCGCAGGAGAGGATTGATTCAGTGCCTGGGATAATCGGTGGGTGTGTCAGAGACACTGAGATTGACACAGGATAGAGAAGAGTTTAGGGTTGTTGTACATATGGTTGCTGTGAGTAACAGGTGACTCGACGGCACATAATAACAACAACAGCAACATTTCTTCAAGAAATAACAACCTTCTGTGTGGAGTGCACCTCATTGGCAAGAAGACAAATATTCTTACCACTGGACGGAGAGGAGATTGAAAACTGTCAGTAGCTTAACATCCTTGATACCAGCAGCCAGAAAATAAGAAAACACATTACACCAGGAATATCTGCAGTTAAGGACCTCTACAAATTATTGAGGAGTAATGATATCAGTTTAAGAACGTAGATGTGTCCGATTTAGGCCATGGTCTTTCTGGTCACTGGTTCTGAAAGCTGGACAGTGAATAGGGATGACAAAAAAAGAATTGACTCTGAGTCGTGATGTTGGAGAAGAGCACTGAACATGTCCTGGATGGCCAAGAGAACAAAAGTCTTGGAGGGTGTAGCTGGAGTGTACTCTTTGGAAAAAAGAATGATAAGACCTCAGCTCACATTGTGCATGTTGCTAGGAGGGGCTATTCCTTGAAGAGGGACTTGATGCTGGGAAGGGTTGAAGGTCAGCAAAGGAGAAGATGACCCTCATTTAGGAGGATTGACAGGGTGACTGCCGCACTGGGCATTGTGACACAAAAAAGTGTGTCAGGATGTGTGAGGATGGAATAGGATAGAACAGAGTACAGTTCTTTTGTTCATAGAGTCGCTATGAGTCGTATTTGATGGTACCTAAGGGGAAGGCCCCCTATGAAGTGGATTGATTCAGTGACTGGGATAATCGGGATGGGTGTTAAGGAGACATTGCGATTGGCACAGGACAGGGCAGAGTTTAGGGATGTTGTACATAGGGTTGCTATGAGTTGCAAGCAACTCGACGGCACATAACAATAACAACAACACCAACATTTTTTACTGTTTCTAACTTTTGCATTGCTGTCAGTATTGTTCTGTTGATTATATGTTCAGTCAAATTTGGACTGCAAAATTTGATAAAAATTCTCTATTTCTCCCTCTCTAGCTCTAGATGTAGGAGTGTATATTTGAATAATAGTTGTGTTATCAGGCCTTCCTTGTATGCGTATGGGTAATACTCTATCATTCACAACATTGTATTTCAGGATTGAAAGTGAAATAGACTTTTTGAGTATGAATGCCACAGCATTTTTCTGGTTTTCCTTCCCAGCATAGTATACTTTATGAGTAACTGATTCAGAGTGGCCAAAGGTGACCCATCTCATCTCACTAATGACGAGTGTGTTGATGTTTATGTGTTCTACTTTATTTTTAGCAATTGCTAGTATTCCAACATTCAAGCTACATACATTCCATTTCTAATTATTAAACGGTGTTTGTCATTGTTTTTCTTCATTTCAGCTGACTTCCAGTCTGGGCTTTAGCAGTGCACTGTTATAATTGTTGTGTTAGGGTTTTCAAAAGCCTGCTATTTAAGAAGTGCCTGGCCAATCCTGTTTTTCTGTCTGTGTTAATCTGGGATCTCTTCTAAGACCTGTCTACCATGGGAAACCATTATAGCATTTGGCACAGCTTTCAGAATCACAGCAACCCAGCAGTTATCTTAGTACAGCTAACTGAGAGACAAGTGCTTTGCAATTAGCAAAGTGTTTAGCCCAGACTAGAACAGTGTTTAGCCCAGACACAACAAACTACTAATTTAGTTTGTAACTCTAATAGCAAATCAGTCTTCACGTCAGGCCTTGGGTCTGCTGGAGGACTTTTAATCACAAAGACCCTCCGTCTGTGTCCTGGTCTTAATTGGTTTAAGCAGAAGGCTTCCAGCCCACAACTTGTTGTTATTGAAATAAAAACGACCAATCAACTTACTCCTAATTGTTAATTAATTAAGAAAGACCAAGAAATTTATGCCTAGTTGTGAATTAAGCCAAAAGAAAACAACTTACCTTCTGTAATCTGAATGCTTCAAACAGGAGACTCTTAGGTAGGAACTAAGGGACTTTTAATCACAGAGGCACCCCCTACCAGTACCTGGTTTAAACAGGCTTCCAGCCCACAACTGATTGTTAATGCAATGGTTAGTGATGCATAAAAAGAATTCTTAGGAACAGGATTAATAAAGTGATCGTCTATTTGGAAGTACTTTCTAATACTGATTTATTTTCAGGTCCTTCAGCAGCTTTTACATCATTGCAGAAAAAGCAAAGAGAAAGTTCTTCTTTTCTCTTTTTCCACCAAGGTGAGTTTTCCCTGACATCTGTACTTCATTTGCCTAAGCTAATAATGGAATAAAGGAACATAGATCATAGAAAACTTCACCAGATTCCAGCCACATTTTTTTCTTAAAGACACTGTAGAATCTGATAAGTGAGATGTGTAACGTGACCCATTCTATCAACAAAGAAAAACAAGTCCAGTCTATCAACAAAGAAAAACAAGTCCAGAAAACCCTATTTTTCTTAATGCTTTTGTTACTAATAACAACAACTATTCTTCAAGACATTTTAAAAACTTGTAAAATACTACGGATAAAATATGCTGTTGTTGTTATGTGCCGTCGAGTCGTTTGCGACTCATAGCGACCCTTTGTACAACAGCCCTAAACCGTGCTCTATCCCGTTGCCTCTGACACACCCATCCCGATTTCCCCAGGATAAAATATATTTATGCATAATTTATTCAATAATTTTTAATTTGCTTTATGTCTTTTAGCTTAAAATGTGGACAGGTGGGTGGTTTTTAATTAGAAAAATCTTTTTCTTAAATTCAAAGATTGCTCAAAGTTATTTCAGGATAATAAGTAGAAATTGAAATGTCCATTGCTGTAATAGATACAAGAAATGGGAGCAGCAAGCACCTAATAACTCTAATGATAGGAAATGCGTTCAGCCCAGTATTGCTGTCTGCCTGTCTTCCTGTGTATCCTCTAGTTGCTGGATGTGCTGCAGCAATACTGTGTGGCAGCTGGATTTGATTTCCGACGACTTGATGGGAATACAAAATCAGAGGAAAGAATCAAGATTGTCAAAGAGTTCAACAGTACACAGGACTTTAATATTTGCCTTGTTTCCACAATGTAAGGAAATAAAATATGATAACTTGGTATTTATCATATTGTTTTTAAGGGATAAAATATTTTTAAAAATCATCACTATTTTTAATGGTTATTGTTATATTTTTGTTTTATTCCACTTTACGGAAAATTGGGGAAAATTCTCATACTCTTGACTAAATAATGTCTCTAGTTTTACCTGCACCTTTTTTCACTGCACTTCCCGAACCCCTAACTTCTTACAAAATCACGCATTTCTGTGTGCCTGGAACTATCAGGCTGTATCCTGCAGCATCTGACACTACCTGTAAAAAGTGCAAGGGCCACCTGGAGAGCACCATATCTGACCTTTACCATCTTCACAAAGGGAAACTTTCCTTGTCCATGCCATCATTAACATAAGAACAATTCCCATGAATTGTGTCTAACACAAGACATATCCTTCGTGCACTGATACCTCTTTCTATTCTTCTCAACACAGTTATTACTGTTTTGGTGGTTCAACAATCTGATGTGATAGCTCGCAGACCGCACAGAACCATATTGCGGAAGTTACACCTTTCTAATCGAAATTAATAACAGAATACAGGCAAGACTAGTCCCGAAATGTGCACACAGGCACATCAACATCAAGCCTAGTGAATCTTAGTGTTCCCAAGTTCTCAGTCCTGCCAATACTGGTTTCCCCCTCCTACCTCCGAAGGTCTCCTCTCCTCCCCTTCCCTGCTCTCCCCTCCCCTCTCCCTCCCCCTTGATTCCTTCCCCTCCCTTCTTTCCCCTCCTTGTCTGTCATGTCTACTGTCTTGAAGTGTATCCTACACTTCATTGGATTGTGGGAGGTCTCTTTCCTCTTCTGTTGGGGGAAGAATTCTCATTCTTATTAACATATTTGTTCATTCTAGGGATATAGTAGGCTCTTGGGTCTTTAATATTCATTCTGTGCATACAATTCAGTTATATTTCATAATCTGTCAAAATAAATTTAGCATAAAATCTAGATATATATCTAAATATTATAGGAAGGTATGGTGTGAAGGCTTAATGTACTTTGATGTTGCATAGCAAGGTGGCATGTATTTG